GAGGTGGCGAGGCTGGTACAGGAGTGAGGTGGCGAGGCTGGTACAGGAGTGAGGTGACGAGGCTGCTGGTACAGGAGTGAGGTGATGAGGCTGGTACAGGAACGAGGTGGTGAGGCTGGTACAGGAGCGAGGTGGTGAGGCTGGTACAGGAGTGAGGTGGTGAGGCTGGTACAGGAGCGAGGTGGTGAGGATGGTACAGGAGCGAGGTGGTGAGGCTGGTACAGGAGTGAGGTGGTGAGGCTGGTACAGGAGCGAGGTGGTGAGGCTGGTACAGGAGTGAGGTGGCGAGGCTGGTACAGGAGCAAGGTGGCGAGGCTGCTGGTACAGGAGCGAGGTGGTGAGGCTGGTACAAGAGCGAGGTGATGAGGCTGGTACAGGAGTGAGGTGGTGAGGCTGGTACAGGAGTGAGGTGGTGAGGCTGGTACAGGAGCGAGGTGGTGAGGCTGGTACAAGAGCGAGGTGGTAAGGCTGGTACAGGAGTGAGGTGATGAGGCTGGTACAAGAGCGAGGTGGTGAGGCTGGTACAGGAGTGAGGTGGTGAGGCTGGTACAAGAGCGAGGTGGTGAGGCTGGTACAGGAGTGAGGTGGTGAGGCTGGTACAAGAGCGAGGTGATGAGGCTGGTACAGGAGCGAGGTGGCGAGGCTGCAGGAGTGGAGGTGGCGAGGCTGGTACAGGCCGGGGCAGGGTTCCTTCAGGCAGGATTAGAAACCACGCTGGGGGCGGGGACACAGTCAGTGCTTATCTAGTTCCCTGGCTCTCACATGGATGATACCATGTGATGTGACACAGACCCCGGTGAAAAGGCGCCTCCCTCACGCCTGGACGCGGGCTTCCCTGGCAGCCATGGTCACCGCTCCTCTGCTTTCAGTACTCCCAGAGGCCCATCCCTGTGAGCCCTGGGGCCACCGCTGGTTCACTCCACCCCGCCCCGCTTCAGGTCCCCCGGCAAGGCCACTCCTTGGACCACGGGGCCACAGCTGGTCCACTCCACAGTGCCCTGTCTTCCCAGGCCCTGGGCAGGGCTGCCTGTCATCCCACCTTGTCCTCTGCAGGGAGCTTCTCACCTCCACCTGTCCCCCCAGGCCCTGGGCAGGCCGCTCCTGACCCCGCCTGTCCCCCCAGGACCTGCAGATCATCAGCACGCATGAGAGCCAGGTGTTGGTGGCTGTGCAGGAGTGGCACCAGACGGACACCTACAACCTGTACCTGTCGGATCCCAGTGGCCAGCGCTACTCTCTGGTGCTGGAGCATGTGCGCAGCTCCCGGCAGGCAGAGGAGAGTGTGCTGGTGGACGTGCTGGAGGTGCGCTCTGCAGCCCAGGGGACCCGGCACAGCCTGCTCCCACATCCTGCTTGGGCCCGTGGAGACCCCACATCCTTCACTCTCCTCAGACCCCACAGGCTCCCTACAGCTCCGTCAGTGCCCCACTCTCGGTCCATCTCTCTCCCTGATTCTCTGTCTCTCTTGCTGTCTGCCCTGTCTCTCTGCGTCACTCTCTGCTGCTCTCTGTCCCTTTATCTCTCCCTTCCTCTCTTTCCACCTCTGCTGCTGGCTGTCCCAGTCTCTCTCTCCCCCCTTCACTGTTTCTCTTGTTCTCTGTCACTATTGATCTGTGTGTGTCCTTCCATTTCTGCCTTGGTCTCTCCAGCTCTGTTGTCTCTGTCAGCTCGCTCTTTCTGTGTCATCGATATGTCAGTCTCTGCTCTGTCTCTGTCTCTGTTAGACCTTGGTCTTACTGTCTCTGTCCTGTTACCTCTCAGTCTCTCTCTGCCTGTTTGCTCTCTGTGTCATTGATTCGGTCTCTGCTCTCTCTCAGTCTGTCTCTCTGTCCCTGTGCTGACATCTCTCTCCAGCACTCTTAGAGTGCTGTCCCTCAGAGGCCTTTGTCCTCTTTGTTTTCTTCATCCTGCATGA